GAGGATTTGTGCTTCGCGTTCACGAAGAGGGATTCGCATCAGGTCTGGGCAGTGGTGCATCGTGAATACGTGAAGGGGATCGCATTTGCGAAGAGGAAGAAGAGGCAGTCGGGACCCCAAGCGTTTGGTCTACGCATTTGCATAGTAGGGGTCGCGTTCGCAAAGCTGTGGGTCTATTAGGCATCACATTCACGAGTGGGTCCTCGCGTCCGCATAGAAGGTTTAGGTCAGCAGACTTAGTTGTGCTACGCGAACGCGAGAGGAAGGTCACGTTTGCGATGAAGAAGGTTGCTGGGCAGATTTAAAATGTCCAAAAAATGAGGGTTTGAGTTCATAACACAAAAGTTGATTTGAGAGCTTGTAAGTAGGCGATTTTTGGAGAGATTTTCACGTGGGTGTTTAGGGTTAGTAATTCTTACCTAGTTTTGGTTAATTTTCATGATTATGCCTTTGTTTTCATCATTAAATTAGTGATTTGGGGTGGAAAATTAGGAAAAAGTTCTTAGGCTGAATTTTGAGGTTTTGATCGAGATTTTGGTATCGGATTTGAATAATATTCATATGGGTGAACTCGTGGTTGAACGTATATTCGGATTTTGTGACTTTTACCCGATTCCAAGACATGGGCCCGGGTCGACTCTTTGGGGCAATTTTCTAAATTCTTGTTAAAAATCATGATTTCTTTAATTAGATTAGTTTTTTATAGTTATATTTATAGTATGTAATTGCTTTTGGCTAGATTTGGACCGTTCGGAGTCGGAAAGTTGAGGAAAAGGCATTCTTATCGACTTATTGAGCTTGGTTTGAGGTAAGTGACTTGTCTAACCTTGTGTGGAAAAAATTCTCCTTAGGTTTTGGTATTGTTATGGTATTTGAAATACGTGAAGGTCGTGTACGTGAGGTGATGAGTGCATATTCGGGTTAAATATTGAAAAATCGGTTCTTGCTTAGTAGTCTTCTTTTAATTCCTTAACTGAGTTGCCTTAGCATGTGCAGTCATCATATTTAGCCTAATATCGCATGTCTGCGTATCTTAATTCTTACTTGCAATCTGTGAAATATGCTTAGTTGAATTCATGCTTCTTTGATTTTGTATTTAGTCTTTAATTGTAGGATCCTTGCTGTAAATTCGTGGTCCACCGATTACGAGTTGTGAATTTATTTTTGAGACTACACGGCAGTACCTCGAGAGCTCCCATGTTGCATATTTACTTTTGGGACTACAAGGCGTTACCTCGGAGCTCCCCTGTTGTGTATTTACTTTTGGGACTACGAGGCAGTACCTTGGGAGCTTCCCTATTGCATATTTACTTTTGGGACTACGAGGTCCCTACTGTTTACCTCTATTTGTGGTGTTGTTATTTTTCTGCAATTTCTCATTGTTAAATTCTCAGTCTTTCATTTTAATATTACATCTTCTGCCATGTTTCCTTTTTAATCCAGTAGGGCTCTGACCTGACCTCGTCACTACTCTAGCGAGGTTAGACTTGGCACTTGCTGGGTACCGTGTGATGTATTCATACTACTCTTCTGCATATATTTTGTGTGCAGACCCAGGTACCTCATACTAGCCCCAATATCAGTAGAGTGTGCGTGCTGCTACTTGGAGACTTTAAGGTATATCTATCAGCATCCGTAGACCTCGGAGTCCCCCTCTATCCTTATGTTGACTTTTTTCTTTATTCTCTTATATGTTGATGTATAGAGACAGTTAGTACATTCCTTAGAGCTAGTGGCTTACTTCCACCGGGTTTTGGGAGTTGTAATCATTTGGAATTGCAGTTTTATTTATTTCGGATTATGAGATTTGAGTTTCAACTTAATATTCAGCTATTATGTATAATTGTTAGGCTTACCTAGTCTTAGAGACTAGGTGCCATCACGATATCCTACGAAGGGGAATTGGAGTCGTGATAGTTTAAATCTTGGAGTCCATTTTATATATACAGGTTTGATGGGTAGGTCGAGGCCTTGTCCCGACCATGGTGCAGTTCAGTTATCTCTAGAGACTTGTAGGCGAGTCTTGTGTATTTTGTATATTAGTATTGTGGCTTTGCCAGCCTGTACACATGTTCAGTTGGAGCTAGTCTCCGTTCAGTTTTATATTTTATTTCACAAATTATCCTACAATGTGGCCCTATAGTAAAACTATCGCATTGTATGTTTAAAGTCTCTCAGTCTCAAGTTGGTACGCTCGGTCAAGTGAGGCACCGAGTGCCGGTATCGCCTTCCTAGGTTTGGGGCATGAAAATATTTTTAAAATATCAAATATGTTTGGGAGCAACTAATGTAGACGATCGATAATGGTATGAATATTGAGTTTGTAACCATGAAAGTACTTGTGTCGACATAGGAACGTATTTCGAAAGTTGCGGGATAAATTCCCCCATTCTGGTGGAAAAATGATTATTACTTAAGATAATAAGGTTAAGTCGAGGCATACAACACTACAAAAAGCCGACTAGACACTTTAATCGGGCTATCGAACCTGTAATTAAGTGTAATTAATAAAAATTTACTAGACTTTACAAATAAACATTATTAATCAGATAACATTATACATGGCTAAAATATTTACTTTGATGGTAGCAATTTCTAGCATACTTGATATTTGATATGCCTCAAAAATATTTGGCAGTAAAAGCTAGACGGCTGAATATAGATGATATATCCGTCACTTTATTCATTGAATAATTATAGGCAAAATTTACAACAAAAAAGATTACCTATAATTCGATCATATATTGTAGATGGTTAAGTATCATTGTCAATATGGCATTCCATTTAGATAGTAGGGATACTAAGTGATCTAACTAATATTTGGAGCATTGAAAGAAATAAATTCCATGTATAAATTTCGGCATTGTTAGTATATTAAGGTTCCTATTTTTCTTTGACATAACTAATACATAGGAGTATATAAGTTATGTAAAAAATTATATGTATTTTATACGGGATAACTGTAAAATATTAATGCAAGGATCAGTAATACACCTAATACAACTAAACGATAAAAATAGTTTTTTCGTAAGCGAATTAAGAGTATCAATATGTACGACATTATTATGTTGCTTATTTTGTAATCAACATTTGATACGTTTTTTTTTTCTCTCTATAATATTACACAAATACAGGCTGTCCGCAAGCTGGTCTCTGATTAGTTATATATCTGTATCTATAAAAGTCACTTTTCCCTTAAGGATGGAGTAAGTTCACATTATTCAAGATCTAAAGTTGATATGACGCTTTTCCCTACGCATTTTTCAAGAGTATGTTATATGTTTACCTTTCTCGTCCGTTAATTTTAAATTATTATTTTTTTTGTTATCGATAAAATCAAGATATATGCAAAAAAAAATTAATTTTCTTTTATTTGGTTTCAGGTTGCATTCTCACTTTGCAGAGAAGAAAGTGCAACAAACAAACAACGTTATCTTATAACTTTTTATCTTTTACAATTTTGCAGCTTATAAGATCAAAATGTCTTTTAAAACTCAGGTGCGGTGCATATGTGCTTGTTTTTGTTTATTCACACACTGATATCTATGTTTCTATCTTTTATGTATTAGTTTAATATAATATTTTTTTGAACTTCCACAACATCCTATAAAAAATTTAACAATAGATTTGTCTAATTTGTAAAATAATAATGTTTGCCACTTCTTTCTAATTAGACCGCACACATATTTTAATTATTATAATAATATGGTGCTTTGTAATTAAAAACCATCATAAAGGATGGTTTTAAATTTTTAGTTCTCGTTAATGTGAAAAAATAACTGAATTCACCACTTAAACAGATTTTTTATTATTAAAAAATAGGTTAGTTCACCTGTACAAAAGTGATGTGATACTAGAAGCATTTAAACTAATTAGTTTCATAATTATTAAATTTCTCAAAGTTGACATGGTCACATACTCTTTAATTGAAGGTGGTTAATATGTTTCCCCAATTAATAATTCCAAATATTTGAATCATATATATATATATATATATATGTATGTATATATGTATGTATATATGACAAACAAGAAAATATGACTTCAATTATAGAGTCACTTTACTATTTATCTTTAACGAATATTTTTGTTATTACGATAAAAAATTTACGTTTTAAAGTTAAATCTTAAATTTTCATTGAGGTTAATGCCTTTCTGAACAATTTGTAATAGTAAAATCTGATTTTTATTTTATTTTTTTTTTGTTCTCTAATTACATATATTCGGACTTTTTTTGGGTAAGCACATTGAAAATTTTCAAATTCAAGTTAAATTTCAAATTTAATTTCAAATTTCCATTGAGGTTAATGCCTTTCTAAAATTTGTAATAGTTAAAATCTGAAATATTTGTCCTCCTCTAATCAATTTTAGTAAGCACATTAAAATATTTTCAAACTCAATTTAAATTTCAGATTTTGTTAATGCATGTTAAAAGTTTGATTTTCATTGTTGTAACATTAGTATAAGATTTACTAATCAAGTAAAATCTCCAATTATGCTCAAGCTGACCTCCAAATTTGTCCATGTTAATACATGTGAAAAGTTTATTAATGTTGTAAAGTTAACTAAAAGAAGTGTACGTTATTTATGTCTTTCCTAATTATATTGACTGTTGTCAATTAGGATTTGATGAATTTCAGTAAGCACTTTAATAAAATTCCCTTTTCAAGTAAAATTTTAGATTTATTTCCTTTAGTGCAAGTGGAGAATCTGATTTGGCTGTTATAAATTTCAGTAAGCACATTAGTACATTTTCCTTTTGAAGATAAATTTTAAATTTGCTTCTATTATTGCAATCGAAAATTTTGATTTAGTTGCTAAAAAATTAAAATATATTTGTACGTAGCTAATGTTCCTTCGAAATCTATATACACTTGCTAATCACAACTTAGCTCGAAATTTAATTAATTACCATTGTGAATTTTTACAATATATATAAATAGCCATAGTATTCCATTTCTTGAAAATAATTGATGGATAAAGTTTATTTTATTGTAGCAATGGAGGGTAAGAAGACCGAAGGGAAACAAAAAATTCCCATGATGAAAATAGAAAATGAAAGCGATCGTTATGCCTCATTTTCTAAACGTCGTTCTACCTTATATGATAAAGCTAGTGAACTGGTTGGAGAGTGCGATGTTGATATAGGTATAATTCTTTTCTCCCCAGCGAATAAGCCTCATTCATTTTTTCATCCAACTGCTGAAGCCGTTCTTGATCGTTTTAAGAATCCTGGTACAAAATTTAGTGAGTCTTGTTGCAGCGCATGCTCGAAATAAGGTGACTCAATACAACACTAGACTTGATGAATTTGAAACTCTAGAAGAATTTGCAATCGATCAAATGCGTCGATAATTTCATGAAATGAAAGAGACTAGAGAGGTAGGTTGGTGGGAGAGCATATTGAGAAGTTCAATGCAGATGAGGTGAATAAATTTGAATCACCTTATAGGTTAAAAAAATGAAATTATATTATTGGTTGTGTGTTTTTATTTTTATTCTTTTCTTTTATGTGTTTGTTTTGACAATGGTACCGCATGTACTCTGCAATGATTTCTATTAATGATATATGATTTTATTAGTATATCTCGAACCTACATATTAGGCTTCTTAAGGAGTCGTTTTGTCAAAGACCCGGAATTCTCACCATCGGGATCGTGATGGTGCCTAACATCGCACTCGCTACGCAAGCCAGCGTTAAAATTTTATTCACCTTTTTCCTTTACATTTCATAGTGTAATACTAACAAAGATAAATTTAACTGAAATAGATGCGGAAGTACATAATTAATCGGTTATCTATATACTATCAACAATACCGAAACTGTTACCAACCAGAAACTGGTGTCACAATCCATAAACCTATTATGAATATCTACAAACATTGGTCTGAAAGAAATTATATCTGTTTCGAAAGAAAAGAAAACAGGAATGTAAAAACATAGGAGGGGACGCTAGGGCCTGCGGACGCCAGCAGGACTACCTTGGGTCTCCTAGATGAAATGTCTGCAACCGACCTCACGATCAGCAACTACCAGCTCCAAAATCTGCACAGAAAGTGCAGAGTGTAGTATCATTACAACCGACTTCATGTACTGGTAAGTGCCGAGCCTAACCTCGACGAGGTAGTGACGAGGCTACGGCGGGGCAATTACAATATAACCTGCATACATTATATAATAAAACGAAAAGGAAGTACGGTACGAAATGAAACAGTAACTCGCAACAAAAATGAATACAGCACTTCAAATATCTCATCAGTACCAGCTATAACCAATCCTTAAGTGAGATACAACACTACAAAATAATATTACAACAGGGAAGGATACATAAACAAATAACTGATACGGCACGCATCCCGATCCCACCATATAATCAGTAACAATATGAACGCTCACCCTTATTACTCCTTATCAATACACCCGTATTCCTCCTGTTGCGGCGTGCAACCCGATCCCACCAGACAATCACATTTCACCCTTATTCCTCCTCAATATATCACCCTTATTCCTCCTGTTGCGGCGTGCACTCCGATCCCACTATATCATTACCAATCACACAAATAGAACAGAATTTCACAATATGGCTCAAAACCCTCCATAATATTTAAGCCTCAAACCAAAGCAAATAGAAGACCACGCAAATTATGAAACCTCACTCAATTAATACTACACAGCAAGACCAACCAAAATATTCCATGAAATGCCGATAAGCCAACTTAAACCAATAATGAAGTACAATGAAATTACGGAATAATTAATATCTTCAACAAAGAAAACAACATTTAGCAAGAAGCAATTAAACATGGAAACACCAATAAGCATGTAGCAGTTAAGGCACGAAGACACTATATTAAGAGTGGGGAAGGAAACATGCTAAATAGATAAATTGGCGGCGCATAGGTACTCGTCACTTCATTTATACGCCACGCACATGGAATTTTACATAGCAATTAAGTCGGGGATCCCTAATCCCTCGAGTCAAAGTTAGACCAAATACTTACCTCAATCCAACGGCCAACTCAAAGCTCAATTACCGCTTTTCCTTTAGATTTCACCTCCAATCCACACGTATCTAGTCATAATTAACTTAATAACATCAATTATCGCTAAAGAAATCAATTCCAATGCATAATTATAGGTTTTCCAACATTTCCCCCCAAAAGTCAAAAATCGACCCCGGGCCCGCTTGGTCAAAATCTAAAATTCGGACCAAAACCCGATTACCCATTCACCCCCGAGCCCGGATATATAATTGGTTTTGGACTCCGACCTTAATTTGAGGTCTAAATCCCCAAATTCGAAATTCCTAAGTTCTACTCAAAAATCCCCAATTCCACCATGAAAAACTATAGATTCTAGGATGAAATCTTGTAAAAAGAAGTAAAAGATTGAAAGAAATGAGTTAAGATTCATTTACCTATGATTTGGGAAAGAAATGGTCTTTGGAAATCGCATCTTGAGGTTTAGGTTTTGAAAAATGGGAGAATGAATGAAAAATCTTGTCTAAGTCTACACTTATCAGCTGCAGATGTTGCATTTGCGATCTGAGCTGCTTCGCAAATGCGAACTCCTCGCATTTCTACAACTATCACAAATGCGAAGTCCCAGTCGCAAATGTGAACTACCCAGTCCCCTCCTCTGCTTCGCAAATGCGAGGCTCGCATTTGCGAGTCAGACCTTGCAATTGTGAAGTCTGCAGGCCTGAAGCACACCAACAAATTTTCTTAAGTCCAAAACATCCCGAAGTCTATCCGAAACTCACCCGAGCCCTCGGGGCTCCAAACCAAACATGCACACAGGTCTAAAAACATCATACGAACTTGCTCGCGCTATCAAATCGCCAAAATAACACCTAGAACTACGAATTTAGCACCAAATTGCATGAAATTTTCAAGAAAGTTTCAAAACTTCTATTTCCTCAACCAAAGGTCTGAATTACGTCACATCAGTTCCGTTTCTCCCCAAATTTTACAAATAAAGTATAAATATCATAACGGACCTGTACCGGGCTCCGGAACCAAAATACGGACCCGATACCAACGAGATCAAATATTAACCAATTTCTTAAAACCATTATAATTTCAGTCTTACAATTTTATCAAAAGTTCATTTCTTGGGCTAGGGACCTCGAAATTCAATTCCGGGCATACACCCAGGTCCCATATTTTTCTTCGGACCCACCGGGACCGTCAGAATACGGGTCCGGGTTCATTTGCCTAAAACGTTGACCGAAGTCAACTAAAATCAACTTTTTAGGCCAAAAATTATTATTTTCAGAAATTTTCCACATAAAGGCTTTCCGGAATCACGCCGCGACTGCGCATGTAAATCGAGAAGAAATAAAATGAGGTTTTTAAGGCCTCGGAACGGTGAATCGAGTTCTAAAATATAAGATGACCCTTTGGGTTATCACACGTTTGTTCGGAACAAAGATATCTGGGTATTATATATCGTGGAATTATAATTTCAGAATTATTATCTCACATACCAAAATTTTGATATAAAATTTATACCAATTTTAAATAATATATATAACCAAATGCGAGACTACGAGTTCGGTCAATAAAAAATAAATTTTGTCAAAGGACAATATAGTTCATTATTCTAAAATGGTCAACTTCAATCGGGGAAAAGGTTTGGAATATATTCACACATTATGCGAAATGGTTCATTCCCTCCATTAACAATTCGGTTAATTTGAGTTCTTGCCGTTACAAAACTGACTATATTTATTTTTATTGACTAACAAAAATGCTTAGAAACTAATTAATCCGAGTTCTTGGCCATTCGCAACATAGAACATACACTCTCTTCAATGGGATCTTGAATTTTTTGAAAAATAGTTCTTACGAGTTTCTTTAGTGGCGGTGGTGGATATTGTGGGAGTGTGGGAGGGATCTTTAGAGTTGGAAGGAGATGGAGAAGAAAGAAAAAATAACGAAATTAAAATGGGAAATTTTCATAAAGCACTATCTTTTAGTAGTAATTAGCCATCTATAGATACCATTTGCTATATTACGGATTATAGATACCTTTTATGTGGTTATAAGATGTATTTGATGTATTTAAGCTATTGTATTCATGAATACAGTAGCAAAAATAGGCGTGAATCAGGGAAGTCCAGCTAATCAGTTGTTGTATTCGAGTGTATTCGACTGTATTCATGGAGTGAAACATGGGATTATAGCTGGACAGATTATTGTATTCGACTGTATTCACGGTGTGAAATAGGGTACACTATTTTTAAAACGGAAAGTGAATCAATTAACATAATAGACTCCTAATATAACTCAACAAACTCAATTATAACACACAAATTTTGTATTTTCAGTTATAAAAAAGATTCTCAACCGAAAAATACCCCAAAAACATAGCAATCTTCAGAGAAATTATATAATACATCTGAATACATAAATTATATTAATTAAAAAAATTATGAATACATTCATGGCATATAGCGAGACAGTGAATACAATGAAATACATAGAATACAGCGGGATACATTGAAATACAATGAGAAAAAAGACAGTGAATACAATGAAATACATGGAATACAAGGAGATACATTGAATTACAATGAAAAAAAAGATAATGAATACAATAAAATACATGAAAATACATTGAAATATATTAACAGAAAATCATCCTACAACATCGATATCTCCAGGCTCACCATCTCTGGAGACACCTTTGTCTCCACTAACAAACCGAAGTTGACAGAGACAAATATACTTGAGCAACTCCAAAACTCAAATATGGAGATTTAACCCTTCTAACAGATTTGGGATTCCAAGAACAAAGCCACTTCTGATCTAGGAAGGCCATAAAATAAAGTTCAAAGAGCATTTTGCCAAAATGCTTATCGCATTATGTTCCCAAAAAATAATTAAGTGTGCAGTAAGTGTACCGGCTGCTGCTGTTGTTGGTGAGAAACCAACCGGATTAAATGTTCCATAGATTTTAAACCGGCTGAAACAGAGAGTGAACCTGCTTTGGTGTGGGCTTTGCACAAATCCGGTAGAAGGAGGAGGAGATCGAAAATTTTATGGGATGGGGGAAGAGAATGAGATGTATCAAAGTAGAGAGAGAAAGAAAATAGTGTAACCGATTAGCGTATTTAGTGGCTTAGGGCTAGGAGGTAACCAAAATTAAATATTTTGTTATAAACCTTAAAAGGTATCTATGGAATATAATTTTTTTAAATGGTATTTATTTAAAATAAATAAGGTGTTAA